TAAAATAAAGAATAAATTATTTATAGTTTTATAATTTTTTAATATTATTAAAAAATAATATTGATAAAAAATATCTAACTATAAAATGTTTATATTTTTTTTTCATTTGATATTCTTATTTAACTTATATAAAATATATTTTTTAATATTTTTAAAGTAAATATTTTAGAAAAAAAGAAAGAAGAAAAATCATTGTTTTTTCTTTTTGTAATATATAAAATGAAAGAAATTATTCTTATTGTCATGTAGTAAAATATAATATATCATCTTTTTATTTTGATCTTGATTTCAGATGAATGAACGTTATGATTTTTTTTATTACAGAAGCAATCTATTAATCTTTTATTTTATTACTTAAATTTATCAAAAATATGTCAATTATTTATTGTTCTTGGAAAAATTACATTTTGCTACAAAAGAATCCAATCTCAACTTGATCAAGGTAACCCCAAGTCCATAGAGTTATATAAAACATTCCATAGATTGCTGGGCTCATTTGAAAATCGATGGATAAATCTTAAATTTTAAATTATGTTTAATTTTAAGAATTATTATTTATTCGTATTGTATTATTTATTTCATCTTACATGTAATTAATTTATTCTTATTTGGTTTCAGTATAGAAATACGAATGCAAATAAAATCTACTTTTGAAAAGGGATTGATAAGTAAAAATTTGTATATTTCTGTTTTAAATTATTATAAACCCTTTCGCCTTTTTAAGAATATTTTTATGGAAAAATATTCTTAAAAATTATTTAAAAAAGTAATTTTTATGTATTATTATTGAAATTGAATATGATTTAATTCAGATTCTTGATATAAAATATGATTTTAATACTAAAATTAAAATCATATTTCAAATCATATTTTAGTTTTCTTTAAATTCGTATTTAATTTTTTATTCATATGTCGAAAATGTAATTTTTAATAAAATCACATGCCAAGTTTAATTTGTGTAAATTTACTTTAAAGATTTTTTAAGAATTTCTATTTTATAAAAATTTAGTAGAATTTTAATTAAGAAAAGTAAACCCCAACTTAAAAAAATTACAAAAATAGTAATTAATATTCTATAAAAATGGCAAAAATTAAACATAAAAATTATTAAATTTATTTACAGTTAATAAATCCATGCACATATGTTTAAATTAAATATTAAAAAATTACATAAATTAAACTGAAAAATACATAAAAAAATGAAAAAAATTATAAATTAAATGTTTAAATTACAAGAAAAAATTAAATATAAATTTATAGCCAAATTAAATGAAATACAAAAAAATTAAGCATGGAGAGATAAATTCGGAGTTAAGTAAAAAAATAATAAAAATTAAAAGATAGGGAAAATAAACAAAAATTATGCATAAGAAGTCATAGAAAAATAAAAAAATAGAGTTTTACAAATTACTTGTATCATTTAAATTTTAGCTTGAATTGATTATCAAAGGAAGAAAGAATTCATTAATTGCTGTTCATTGTGTAAATAACTTTTAAACTGGTTAGATGTTGAATCAATTCGGTTTATTCTCATACGTTTATTTTATTTTTTTAAATAAAAATGAATCGAGGTAAAATAAAACTGATTAGAAGATTCATTTAATCAGTAAATACCTTTAGTTATTATTAACTATAGTGATATTTGACATAACATCCTGAAAGGAAATTATTTATCATTAACTTAAATTTTATGGTATTATAATTTATATAAAATTTATATTAATAAACTACTATAATTTGTAATATTATGTAAATATTACTTTATATATTATACAAGGCTAATACAAAAGGAAGAGGATGCTGGCGCTGCAGGCCTAAGGCACAAACTTGTACAGGATCCCCGCTGGAATCTATATAACGCAATATTAAGAGAGAGTCACGTCAGAAGGATTAGAGAAGCCTGAAAGTGACATAGCCTGAAGTCCTATGATTGGTTTATTTGATTGTGGCAACGCGACACATGGGAAATCTGCAGAAAGAGACACCTTTGGCGAAGAATTTCTATGATAAACCGGCTCCTATTTAAATATTACAAACGCAAAAAAGACTCGAAAAATTCCACGTGGCCGTGGTGCGAACCCACGACCAGTATTTAGTGGTTTTATTCGCTGTGCCCCGAAGTCCTGATATCACTCTCTTTGACCCTGACATTGCATATACAACTTTATTATTATTAAAGCTGTGTACAAGACCATACAAAACACCAGGGTCCACCATAGAAGTGCCAACAGAGCTATTTCGTTTAAGCCTAGTATTTACAAGGGCTTCAAAACATTGTTGCAATTATTCATTCTAATATTTTTTGTATAATACAAGACAGACTATATATTTTGTCAAGTTCTATTATCTTTTAAATAAATACATCACAATACTGTAAAGCTAATTTGCGTTTAATATATTGGAGGCTTCAGTAAGGTAACTAACTCAGACCTTTCTTGACCTCTGAGAGACTCTGACAATGCTGAAGTTATACTACTGTATTAAAGCTACGCTACTATATTAGTATTAAAGCTATTATAGTAAAGCTGTTAGCTTTACAAATACATTTATAAAGTATTAATACCAATCTCCAGTAAGAACAAGAAAAAATAGACACGTACCATTTTCATACTAAAATTTCAAATCATTTCCTGAATAAAAAAATAAATTCAACATGTCTTTAAGTAATGTTTTGTTTGTTTTATTTTTAAAATTTTTTAAATATTTAAATAAATTATTGCTAAAAAATTCGATTAATAAATTAAATCTAATTAAAAATCTTTTAAATAAATTTTTAAAAGTGTACAATTAAAAAAAAACCTTTTTTTGTAATACTCAGTAATCATTATTTATTTAATTTAAATCGAATGTTTAACCATTTAGAAATGTATAAACCTTGAAGAAAAAATTCTCGAAAGTTTAAAAATTAAATTTAAAAAAAA